GACAGTGAAACAACACTCCTGTCTCATTTTCAGAGGGAAGACAGGTGTAGTTTTGAAATTTTAGTGTGTTTTTTTAAATTTTTTTATTCAAAATGATCCATGTATATTACCTTATTTAATTCTGGTGGCAGCTCTGACGTACATTTTTTTATTAACCTTGTCTTAATAATTGGGCATATTGCACAGAAAAGTAAGGAAACTGTCAAGATTATAGAATTAATAAGTTGCAGATCTTAGAATTTAAGACTTGTCTTACTCTATGAAACTTTTTTTTCTGTTATGGCACCTTATAATTGAAGTGCATGTGATTATATCAGGTCTCTGGCCTATAATTCTAAGATCTCTTCTCAAATATCAGTAGTTTCTGATTTTGAAAGACATTTGTATGTATTCCTTTATCCCACTAGAGGTCAGTATTGGGTTGATAAAGGCAGGATCTTAACTTCACATAACTGAGTCTTATTGCTACTAAGTACCTTGGAAGTTGTATTTCACAAGAAAACTTGAAAGGCATATACAGGTTGCTTTTTGACAGTTTAAGTGATAATAGCAACATTTTTATGTTAATAGTTCAAATTAGGTAATTCTGTAGCTATTCCCCATTCCCCTTCTAATAGGTAGGAGAACATTCAAATCATGAACTTCATAGACATCCCTATATATATTTCTATTGTTATCAAAAGTCTTTCTGTAGTAAACATGTGGCTTCATGATATACATAAACTATGTGATATACATAAACTATGTATATCACTATATCTGAGCTCAGGGGAATTCTAAGAATGGTAAAGGTGTGTTTACATATCCTCAAAGAGAGAATAGTTCCATACTGAAGTGCTATGCTGTCATTTTTTCTACCTAGATATCCAAAGGTTTACTGAACACATCTTCTCTGTCCTGCTCTCAACTTATTATTTCCATGGTTCCTATTGTTTGGAATGACCACATCATCTAATCATTGAGGCCAGAGAACTTGGAGTTGTTTTTATTTCCTTCCTCTTGTCCATGTACTACATTCAAATCAGTAGATTTTGTTGCTTCTTATTTATCTGCTTCTACCTTGGTATATATTGGTTTTCCTGTTTCTCTTCTTTATCTTCTCCCAGATTACCACTCCTTAACTTCTAGAGAATTTGCCTGAGTTATAAAGCTGCTCCTGTTACTACCTTTCTTGTATTCTTTCATTGTTTCTCCATTGCCTACTAACATTGAAACTGCTTGTTAGTTTCTTTTTTCTTTATCTTTTCTTAACTAACTCTCCTGTTAGTCCTTTATAACTTATGCTTTTATTCAAAATTACTTATTCCTTGGGTGGATAATGTTATTTCACACATGGTCCTTTCTCAGGCTGTTTCCTCCTTCTGGAACAGTTTCCCTTTCAACTACTCCCTTTGGAAAAATTACATTTAACCTTTAAGAGCATAGTCTGCCACTTACTTTTCTGTGAAGCCTTTTCCTGCAAGCAGATCCTATTACTCTTTTCTTTGTCCATTCATTATACTCTGAATTTCTCTCTATTATTATAGTTATTGCACTGAATTTCAACCACTTGTTTATCTGCTTCTCATAATAATAATATGATGTGATGTTCATGAGTCAGTGATTCCAGTTTATCTTTGTATGCCCAGTATATAGCATAATGGCTAGTACCAAGTACACATTAAATATATGTTTTACTGAAAGTAGGAATATAGAGAAAAAGCACCATGAATTAGAGCAATGAGAGGAGGCTGACAGAGAAGAGTTTTAGTTGCGTTTCAGAGGAAAGATTGCATTCAGGTGAGGAGAGGTCATCCAATAGAGAAGTGGTAGAAATATACGTGGTACAGTATGAGGCAGATTCTGATCCAAGTGAAAGATTCATGTTGTAGATTACTTGATAGTATGTTGGAGAATCAGGTTCATCTTTCATTATGGTGGAGTCTAAGTGATGGATTATGGAGTTTGGGTTTATACTTGTTCAAAATTTCCCTCATGTCTAACAGGTGTGATGAACAATGTGGTTTAAGAAGAGCCTGGCTGCAACACACAGGGGAATTGTAATAAGAAGGTGATGAGTTCCATTTCATGTATGTGGAAGTGAGGTGATAGGAGAAGACACAGTAGGGAATAGGAAAATGGAGATGTGCTATTGTATCTTGGGAGAATGGAAAGAGTGTTATGAGATGTATTGAGGATTAAGTCTTACTTAATTTCTGTATATTAGGGAACCAAAGAATGTATGTAGGGGAATCTTAGGAATAGGTGGTTAAACCTGTAAAAATTATTCACAAAGAGAATGAAGTAAGAAAAAGAAAATGCCTAAATCCTTTCTAAGATTTAATTGCTATTGTATGCTTTGTTCTCTCCTGCTCCCCCTCCAACCCAGGGAGCAGAAATCAGACCAGCTGCCTTCTGGCTCATGATTATGAAGGTTGTCTTTGGAGGGACTGAATAAACTGTCTTGGTGAGATAGCTTAGTATGTTAAAGAAGTGTTCTGATGGGCCATTATTGGATTTTTAAATGGACTTTATTGTAACATTTTGATTTTTATAGTATATGTATTCATATACTTACATCTATATTTAATTTTCCCTAATTCCATAACATACATTTTGAAAAGAGAGTAATTTTCATTTGCATCCGTGTAAATAGTATTTGAGTATTTAATTCATCATTCTGTGATTCACTATTTGCAATGTGGTCAATTCCTGCTTGGCAGATCTGACCCAACTTCTGTGTTCCAGACCAGGGAAACCTTGAGAATTCTGATGCAGACCCCTAACTTCTGATGAAGCTATGAGATTACATTTTGAAATAGTTTGATTTCTAACATAGGGTTTATCTTATTTTTTGATTTGGTCCAAAGAACTTTGTATTCCTCCAAATGCATGGGAAAATCAGACACAACTGAAGATAATGAATCATATCTACTAGTTACTTCCATAGGATACCTTCAGGTTTGGAGTTTTTCAAGTTTAAATCATAGTAAAGTGTGATTCCTCTTGATTACTTTTGATAAACTAGCATTATTTTATTGATTGTGAAAGAAAAACAAACAACTTGGGATTCAATAAAATAAGATCAACGGATGAAAGCTTTTTGGTTTTGCTGTACTGAAAGAGAGGGTAGATTTGAAGGACAAATGTTCGCTCTCTACTTAAGAGCTTGCTTTTCTGTTTATGACAGGTTTAGGGAGTTTTCCCTTCTTTATGCCTTCTAGAGTCCTTCATCCCTTTTTGTGTGGTTTGCATTGGAAGTAGGTGAGAAAGAACTTGCTTTTGAGAGGAACAGCAGCAATATTCTATCTAATTTGAAGTCTTAATTTCTTGGAAGATAGGTATGTCTTAGGTACAAACCGAAATGAAATGTTTTTGGGTGCCTTCTCTCTCTGAGTTTGTTATCAAAGTTTGTATTTTATGTAAGTCATGTCCATGTATTTTATGTAAGTCAGCCCATAATATCAATGAGCACTAGGCAGAGAAACAAGTTTATCCATCGATTCGAATCTCTGGAATGTAGATTCTTTTCATTTCCTTGGCAGAAACTAGTTCACATAGTTCCAGTTTTCCTCTGTTCTATTATAGTTGTCTTATTTAACCAGTGCCTGGACTAACATTTTAATATTTATCTTGAATTCCTTAATCTCATTCAGAATATTTGGAGCTCTGATTTTCTCCTGAACTAATTTTCTATTTTTTTTTTAATAAATTTTATTTTTTATATTCTCCATACAATTGCAACCCCCCCCCCTTTTTTTTTTTTAAGATTTATTTATACAAGCACTGGGTACAGTCAGAAGTGCGGGAGGGTGAGAGAATTCACTAGAGCCAGAGTGGGGAACAGAACAGGTAGACTGATGAAATACACTGCTGAGCGGGGCAGTTAGCATGGCAGGAGAGGTCTGTCGCGCCATGTGGGACCCTCGCCAGTGGCCGGGGATCGAACTGGAACTGCAGAGGCTGCGGGCAGCTTCGCAGCCCCGTGCTCAACCGCTGCATCACCAGGGGAGGCCCCTATTATTACCTTTTTAAAAGAAAAGTTCCATTTGAAATTTTTTTGCAACATGCTGGGTTAAACCAAATTAAGTTTTCTGAATACAAGACTTCTCCCAGTTTTTTATTCTGTTGATAGGCATTGGATATCTACAAGAAGAATATAAGATATGTAGTGTTTCATGTTTATTTGACCATAGAACCCTTTTTTTGTGGGGGCATTTTGTCATGCTTTGAAGGACTGATGGTGTAGTGTCAGGGTCACTAATATAGAATTTAGGACCTCATACTTTGAGCTTGTGATTTACCACTAGCCTGGTGACCCCAGACAAATCTTTTGTTTTCCAGCTTCAGTATCCAGAGTGGTGATGAAGGTCTCTTGTACCTCCTACACTCTGTGGCTTATTGTACTCCTATTGTACTTCTGCATAGTCCCACTTTCCACTCTTTGTTTCCACCATGTCGCCATTTGAATCTATTAGGCTGAAAGAATTACACTTTTCTATAAAAGTTCGGAAGAAGAAACCCTTTTGAAAATCAATTTTCCATAGATTAATGTCATGAAATTCTATTGTATTAGTTCAAATCACTTTATTGCTGTTTGTATTTTGTTGATCTCTTATAGTTACCTGTTTTTGAGAGTCCCTTAAGTGTAATGGATTGTCCTTCCCCAACCACTATGGTCCCACTATGGTATTTTTTTTTTATGGGATAATATTTAGTCATTTGCACTAATCTTTTGTCTGCTTAGGTGAAAATGGATAGACTACATGTTTGTTGATGATTAAGTGGATATCTTTGAAAAGTCGTGATAATATTGATACCTTTTTTCCTAAGTGGACACTTGGGAAATGAGTCAAAATGGGATGCTTTTAGGGTTAAAAATGGCACTAAGACTGGTGTATGTATTAAGGCATTTTGTTGTAGCATTTTTTTCGAGATACCCATTTATTTAAAGTTAGATGTTTTTTAAATGTCTGATTAAGTTTTCTTTCTTTTCTGTTTTGTGTGTGTCTCCATCCTAGGCCCAACAACAAAGAAACCTGGATAACATCGTTTTGCAACAACCCAGGATAGGTAGCAAGAGAAAATCTAAGAAAGATACATATATCATTTTTGATACGGAGATAGAAAGCACAAGCCCCAAGTCTGAGCAGGACTCAGGAATTCTGGATGTTGAAGATGAGGAAGATGATGAAGAGGTAACTGACATTTGTACTGGAAATGTGCTTTTGGGTTTAACTATAGTGTGGTTAGTTTGTGTGATCTTTGAGATATTAAATATTTTATTTTAGATTTATTTATTTATACAAGAACTGGGGTATAGGCCAGAGGCGTGGGAGGGTGAGAGGATCCACCAGAAACAGAGCGGGGAACAGAACAGGCAGACGGACGGAAGACACTGCTGAGGGGGGTAGCGGGTGAGACAGGAGTGGTCTGCCACGCCATGTGGGTTTCTCCCTGGCCGGCCGGGATCGAACCTGCACTGCAGAGGCTGTGGACAGCTTCATTGTGCGGCGCTCTACCCGCTGCGCCACCGGTGAGGCCTGAGATATTAAATATTTTAAATACAAGTTTAGTTTCTAATTTAAGGAAAGTAAAGGTGCATTAAGATATCTTAGATTCTAGTTCTTAGATATCTTAGATTCTTATTCTAAATGTACTTATCCATTTTTTTAAGTCTCGGGATTTTTTCATTGTATTCTGACTGAATGCTATACAATAAGAAAAGAGTAGCATTTACCTGACCTGGAGAAAGAGATCTAGGTGACCTCCACTGAAACTGGGACAAAGTAAGTTGTTTGTGAGAAATGAAAGATGTAACTTTAACAGTGGGGAGTAAGCCAAAGGATTTCTTAGCCTTCGAAGTGGTTCAGATTGAAAGTATTATAAAGTTCCAGAAAGTTGAGAATACATTCTGGAGGAAGTAAATGTATGAGTGATTATAAGGAATTGGAATTTTGTGATATATCCATAACCTCTTAGATTAGTTCTGTGTAACGTTCAGGTAAAGAATAAGGTTAAACAACATACCTAGTACTTATTTTTATATTCTTCATTGCTGTTGGAAGTATATTTAATATGCTTTTAAAAATAAAACTACTGTGACATTTGAGATTTCCTGTTTAAATGTTTCTCTACATACTTATCATTTGCATAAACTGGGTCAATTTCTTTGTGAGTGTAGTGGTTGGGTGCATGAACTTTAGAGTCAGACAGCTTGCATCCAAATCCTTGGCCTGCCATTTCATTTTACAAAAAAAAAAATTATCAATAGCAATGTAATTTACTTTTAAAATGTGCACTAACATGGGAAGAATTATTCACTCTTGTACTCAGTAATTGTTTTGCCTTTACACGCTTGTCCCTATTGCATTGTTTCATTTCTTCAGATCAAACTGGGTTCACTCTCTTGTCTCCATCTTTGTTCTTTGTTATATATTTTTTACTCTCTTCTCCCCAACCCTCAACCTACACCCCAAACTTGTCACTGACTGTGTAATGTTAGGTAATTGTTTAATCTGTTGGAATTCTATGGTCTTCATCTATCAAGACAGTGTTCTCTACCCATGCCATAGAAGATGGTCAGCAAATGTTAGTTTCTGTCCATTTTAATACTCTTCCTTGCTGTCTTTATTATATATCACTACTGTCAGTGTGCCATGCCTTCTTATTCTTCATTCTTTCACTTAAAAAAATAAAATTGTCAACTGTTTGGGCTGAGAAGGATAATAGCCAAATTAGTTGTCTGTTTCAAACATTAGCATTTAAGTTTGATTGAATGTCTGAGAGACTATCATATGTTTAAAATATTATATTCTTTTATATAGTTTTCATTATTTCCTTATTGAAGGGATACATTTCTACAATAAAAGTGAATGATTGTTTCTATAATTTATAGTTTATCAGGCTATGTTTATTATGTAAATGAGGTACACTAATAATTAATGATGCATGAAAGTCTCATCATAATCCTTACATTTGGATACGAGGAACTTTTAGTAGCTCTAAGAAATGGGACTAATAAAAGAACCAGGCATTTGCCTGTACCTGTGGAAAAGGACATGGTCAGAAAAGATCTTGATCCTCCTGATATGCTTTGTAACATTCTCTTTTCTTGCCTGGAATGATTGACATGGTAGGATAGGGATCCATCCTGGAGTTCAAATTGTCGGCTATTAGGTATATTACCTATGCCAAGTTATGGTAGGCAAGGCAAATAACAATGGGGATTGCCTCAGGAATGAACAGTTAATGTCTTTTATTTACATTTTGGGTGTCACTCAAGGAAATAAATTCTTTCACTACTTTGGCCTAAGGAAAGAGAAGTGGGACATAGCCTGTGCCCCTGGTAATGCAAACCCCATAGAGACAGTTAAATGTAAGATGAAGGAATAAAATATATTTGCATTTCTCATATATCAGTGAGAACCTTTGCCATTCTTTGTCAATAACCTGCTGAAGATCCTAGACAAATCTCTTTTAATTTTTGTGCTGTTTCTTCTTTGTTTTGTCTTCTGAGTTCCAGAGAAGATGAAGAAAGTGCAACTCGTAAAATGTATTGGGGTGCCTCATAAAGAAAGTATTTTAAGAATGTGCTTGGAAGCTAACATTTTAAAATGGCCCCATATCCCAAATCAAACAGAATTCATATTAGAGATTTGCTGATTGAGCTCTTACAACAGGAATTCAGCACCTCACTGTCATCTAATGGCATCCCATCTTTAAAAAAATTCTACCTTATATTTATTTACTTCTCAGTTTGAATCTTCTTCAAGTGCACATTCTTAATCTCAAACCTCATGTAGAGAATTATTTATTTAGATGTCTCCAAACTGGTTTCTTGGCATAGTTCTTGCATGGTGTGAATAAATTCTTCAGATAAGGTCTTTCGTGACCCACTGTGACGTTCTGACCTTCATTCTTGTCATTCTTCACCAGACCTCATTGAGAGCAGCGTAAATAGTTTTAGAAATATTTTGACTTTTAAACTGTGGCAGAGAATCATGTAGGACAGTGGTTCATAATCTATTTGGGGTCATGTAGTCCTTTGAAAACTTGCTAAAATTATGTGAAATCTTTTCTCAGTAAAATGTGTATGTTTTCATTCACAAAAGGTTCTGCATGAAATTTCAGAGGTTTTAATGAAACTCATGTTGTCCCAAGGGCCAAACTTAAGAACCCCTATTGTTGGACAGTGCTTTTTGAACTCGAATGTGGCTGGAATCATGCTCAAATGATTCTGCAAGTTGGGGTGAATTTGAGAATCTCCAATTTTCACGAACTTCAAGGTGGGGATGGTGATTTAGGTCCCTGCACACACTTAGAATTGGAAGACTATAAAGGATGACCAGGAAACACAGTACTATGTTACGCAAAGAAAACAAACCCTTGATATTTGGGCCTCTTACTGATTTTTAGTTAATATACCTGAAAATTTTCCAACAGTGAGTCTAGTACTTGAAGGGAAAGTTATATTTTTCTTTCTAAAATCTGTTGCTTATAATAGATTAACAACATTTTTTAAAAGCAATTTATGATTCTGATTTAACATAGTTAGGTTTAGATATTTTCTTAGTCTCTGAAGTAAGAACTTTTTATCCTTTGTTGTACTTTTAATAGAGTGTACTTAACACATTCCTTGAGTCAAATGACACTTGTGGGCTGTTTACTCTGTCTTTAACCTTATGATACTTAGTAATGTACCATGCAACGAGATGGGTAGGAGGACTGGGACATTTACCATACAGCTCTGTACCTCTGCCTGGTGTGCAGTTAGCTTATATGTTGTTAGACTGAAATAAAGTTTGTACTAAAGGTGGGAAGACTTAATGGTCTGGAGAACTCAGGATGAATTTGCAGTAGTAAATTGTCATCTTGCATGAAAAACCAACTCATATGTTAAACCAACTGATAGAAACAGTCTCTTGATTGCTGAGAAGTTTTTCAAGAAAAGTTTTTCCCTATAAAATACTCTATTTGGGTTTTAATTTTCTTCTAATGTATTGATTAAGATACCATAAGTAAGGTAATGTTTTCTCTTTTACCTGTCATGTGTTAAAGGTGAATATTTACATTGAGGATTTTTTTTTTTTAAAGATTTTATTTATTTATTTATTTATACAAGCACTGGGTACAGTCAGAAGCGTGGGAGGGTGAGAGAATTCACCAGAGACAGAGCGGGGAGCAGAACAGACAGACCAATGAAGTACACTGCTGAGGGGACCAGTGGGCGGCAGGAGAGGTCTGCGCGCCATGTGGGACCCTCACCCGGCGGCCGGGGATCGAACCAGTGCTGCACAGGCTGCGGGCAGCTTCACAACCCAGCGCGCAACCGCTGCGCCACTGGGGAGGCCCAGTTTGAGGATGTTTGACAATTTTTTATCAAGAACTATTTCAGTTGATTTTCTGTGGAAATGTGTATGATTTCAGGAATTCAACTTGAATCTCTAGATCACCCTGTGTTAAATGAAAATGTAATTGCTCTTTCCTAAATGTCTAGATAAAAGTTGAAAAAACTTTTTAGAAATTGTGACCATTATAGATTGAGATTATATTTGTGGTCCTAGATTCATCAGGAATATAATTTTTGAGATATTTGAAGACAGCATACAAAGAATCCCTTAAGGTGATATATTATTTGTGAGAAAGGGGAAAATAATACCTACTGAAGGTAAGGTTGTTGTGAAGATTGAGCTAAAGCATGTAATACTCTTGCACAGTGCTTAGCATATGATGGGATTAGAATTATGGGATTAAGACTGTGCTGTTGGGGAAATAAAGGTGAAGTACAAGTTGATACAGTTTCTTGCTAATGTATATTTGTATGAATAGATGAATACTTTTTACTGTAAAAATATCTACTGAAATATAGCAGTCTTGAGTAAAAATAGCTGGAAAAGCGGGGCCTATGATTTCTTTGTTTTTAGGTTATTTCGGAGTTTCTGCATTCTTAGGACACTCACTGATCCACTGTTTTGGCACATCTATATTCTGTCTCTCGCAATTTGTTTATATTGTTAAGAGAGTAGTGGTGACCATGTTATCCATACAGCTCTTCATAAAGTATGGATCAAAGAAATATTTGTGGATGAAATGATCCCGGCCAGGTTTAGTTCTCAAGATTTGTTTTTTAAAGATTTATTTTATTTTTGCATACAAGAGCTGGGGTACAGGCCAGAGATATGGCGGGGCGAGAGGA